ATATATATAATTATATATATAAGGAAGATTTTTTTAAATTTCTTAAATTACCTCTTCTCTCAATCTATCGAGTAATATTTTCTTATCAACTTTTAATTTCGCCGCTTGATCCGCTTGTGTCGGAGTTTGGATGCCTGAATGTTCCAACAAAGCTAAATGAGCATCCTTTTCGGAAAGGGCAGCTTTTAAAACATCACGCCTGTAAGGGAGCCAGCAATATTAAAATAAACTATTAAAAGTACTTATATTTGTACACATACACCCAACTGTTTTTTTACTTGTATATTGAAACACCCACTTAATTTGATGCAACTCTTGAAGTTGAACAGTCTTCTCCTGAGTCGACTGGCCGAGTTTCCCTTCGGTCTTAAATATCTTGTAAAGAAGTGGCTTGCACGTGATGCATTTCGTGGCTGAAACAGCTTGCATGACTGTGATTTTTTCCTCTATCTCGGCAATCTGATAAGATAATAGTATTTTTTTAAAAAAACATTCCAATGACTGTATCGATTTTTTCAAGTAATTAATTAAAAATAAAAAATAAATTATGCAATTAATGGTAATACGTTTTGCACAGATATTCAAGCGGTATAATATCACACAATGTATAATTATTTACAGATTTTCTGCAAATGTATTTTTTTTACTATGATTTTATTTACTATGATTATTAATTATTACATGTAAAATAAATAAATTTTATTTGAAATAATTATATTATATTATAAATGTTATGCTTATTTTATAATAATATGAATCGAATATGACTAAAACAATATGTATAAAACAAATTTAATATATTGTAAAGGTTTCTAACTTACTCTTCGGTCGGATTCTTTTCTAAGCTTCTTTTCATTCTTTAACTTCGCCTCAATCTCATTCGTAATTCCAATGCTCTGGCGAAGAGCCGCATCCAATTCTTCCAATTTATTCTCTTTATCCGCGAGGTTCTTTTTCAGTTGAAGCTCTATTTCCTCCTTTTCCTTTAGAGTGGCGATGAGTTCTTCAATCGCGACATCAATTCTCTCACCAAGCGATGTCTCTAAAGAATTGACTTCCATTTCTAGCTCCTGCACCCTCTCATTTTTTAGTCTAATTTCTTTTTTCAGCGCACTAATGATTTCCGTTTCATAAAATCCTTCTTCAATTTTGATCATCTCTTTTTCCATTTTCAAAATTTTATTTTGCTGCTCGACGATTTGCTGTTCATATCTTTGAATTCTGTTATCTTTTTCCGAAATATCATGTCCCATTTCCTTCATCTTTTGCTCTTTTTCTTGCAACCTTATTTTCAGGCTCTCCTCCTGTTCGTATTTTTGAATTTTATTAACTTCTTCCACGGCGTGCATTATTTCCTTTGTCTTTTGTTTTTTTTCTTCTAGTTCACAAGCTATTTCATTATTAGATAGAAAGTTCACCTTCGACAGGTCTCTGACTAAAAACAAAATAAAAACAATGATATAATTAAAAATTTTTAAACATAGCAAATTTCATCATAGTGAAGATTTCACTTACCTGATATATTTTCTTCACATTTTGACAGTTTTCTTAACTCAAAAATTTGATTCTCTAGCTGAACAATTCTGCATTCTCGATACTGCAACTTTCGTTTAAGGCCGTCGATATTATGCTCTTTGACATAATCCTCCAAATTCGTAACCATTTCCTCCAGTTCTATAATTCTCGCTTTATCAATTCCTGCATTTGTGAGATTGTTCTTCTGGATCCACTTTTCCATTTTCATAATACATTCTTTATCGAGCGATATCTGATACCGCAGATCACGCATCTCTTTCATATCCTCCTTGAGGAAGTCCTCGAGTTCTCGTACAGCATTCTCTAGTTCCACGATCCGTTTGGATTTCCTATTGATTCTTTTTTCAAGATCGCGCATTTTCTGCGCATCCACGTTTTTCCGTAGATTTTCTAGCAACACTATTTTCTGCTTCAGCTCAATAATGTATTGATTCTTTGCCTCGATCTCTTGTTTCCAAGACTCCTTCACTTTCATATTCGTTTTTTCATCGCTGTTATCCTTTTCTGAGAATTTTGTTGTGCTGTAATTTTTCAAGGAATTTTTTAAGGCTGCCACTTGCTGCTCCAGTGCAAGGATACGCCGATCCTTTGCGTTTAGACTATAATTTTCGCACGCTTTCAGTTGCGTTTCAATATTCTTGTTTGATATTCTGTCATGCCCATTAATGTCCTTTAGGCCCTCACAGCATTTCAATTGCTGCTCCAGCTGGATGATGTGTTGATTCATCGTCTCCGTCTCCTCCTTCCAAGATTCAATGTGTTTCGCGTCACCCAACGGGTCCTTACATTTGTTGTGTTCTATCTGGAGATTCTCCAACGTTCTTTCCAGCAATATGGCATGGTTCTTCGCCTCTAGTGCTTTTCGCCAAGAAGACTCGTCCTTGTTATCCTGAGACTAGCGTGCGATATGCGTACCGAAGCGACATTCGTTGGCAAAGTGGTAAAATGTACGGGATGGCGATAACGAAAACAAAGGTGGAAGCACAGAGAAGGAAATAGATCAAGATGAATGTATATGTATGTGTATGTGCATTTTTTATCTGTATACATGCATCGAGCGATACGAAGAACGCGAAAGTACATCTTCAAGTGATGAGATATTATCTTTAATCTTCATTCTTTCTTTTATCTCAGTATATTTAAATAATCATTTGTTAAATTATCTTTTTGCAATTCTTTGTTGTTGCCTTCTTTTTCTTCGCGTCTGCCGTTCACCATCTGATTTTCCTTTGTCTTTTCTTTTTTTTTCTCGATTTAAACTCGTATTTATATTTATATTTACGTGTGTGCATAAATATATATACATCTACATACGTATATCTTCCGCGGCCGTGTAAGTTATATAGTATGTATATACAGATGGATGCGCGTATATTTTATCTCTTGTGTATACGCCAGTATATAAGTATGAATATTTATATATATTTATATATATATATATATATATACAATATATATATATTTATATATTTATACATATGTATATATATTCCGGATTCTTCTTAATAATAATTAATTAACGTTATTGTTTCCGTTGTCTTTTCTCGCGTCGTCGTATTAATATGTATTTATAAGTTATCCTCTGCATTAAATTTATATTTATATATTTATATTAATAATTTTATCCTCAATATTTATATATTCTCAATATTTATATTTATATCAAGTTATTATTGTGTTATTATCGTTATTATCCTTTCGCTATAATTATTGAATACGTTAACAATGGTCGTAGCATTTTACGTAAAATAATTATATGTCTCGACGTGAGTTTTGTCCATTAATCCTTCGTTTAAGTTTCTCGTATATACGTCTATACTCGTAAAGTCTCGTTTATAATATGCAAATTGTACTAAAAAGAACGGAGAAGGCGTCCCCAACAAAAATCGACTTTAAAACAAGCTTTTTAGGAATCCGGCGGGTCCCGCCTATTAGCATCGTTCGAGAGAAAAATTTGTAATATTTTTATTTTATTATATTCGTTGTATTGTCAACGCAAAACCAAAAGGAAATACGCACAGAGGATATGCACGGCGATACGTGAAACATATGTGAATTTCGTATATATATCCAAAAGCAGCGTGAAAAATAACAGAAAACAAGTAGTTAGTAGGTTAATAAATAGAAGAAGAATGTGTTAATATAAATTAATTAATTTATATTTTTCTTATTATCAGTACTCCGCAAGTAAGTATGAAATATACTGACCTCTTGCTGTGCAGTTGTAGCTTGTTTCAACTTGGCTTGTGCGATTTTGAGTGCTCTGCGATGAAGAAATTAAGAGAATTAGTAGTTTTAGAATTAGTAGAAATTATTTTAATTTATTTCAAAATATATATATTTTTAAAAAAATCAATAAATAATTTATATTTAAACTTATTATATAAACTTATTATTGAGAGTACAAATTAGTTCGGTCAGTTAAAAAATACATTTATTTCAAAACAAAATGAATGAACAGATCAATTAAAGTATTGTCCATCGCTGCCTACTACTTTTTCCCATCTCTCAGGCAATTTTCGAATTTCATCTCGAAAAAATGACTCGTCTTTGGAGGCGATCCAATTTTGGAGCCAATTTTCGATTTCTGCGAAAGAAATGAACCGGTGACTTGCTGCATCCTTCAACAACCAGTCAGAACAATCAGAAGGAGCAATGTTCGAAGAACACGGCAGATGCGATAAAACATCCCATTTGAGCGTTTCCAAATATTTTTTTACGACTTTAGCGATATGAGGCCCAGCATTGTCATGAAAAAGAATAACTTTATCATGTATTTGCTCGTTTTTCCGGCCGTTTTTCTATGCACGGCTCAAACGAATCAATTGTAGCCTAGTTGGAGCAGTGTCACCATAAACTTCGACAAGCATTCTCGATGGGCTTCAGCCACATTTTTCTTCCAATTGAAGCAGAAAATCAAAACCTTCCACAAATGTTGCTTGGTTAACACAAAATTCGACATTTCAAACACAGTAAAAATCAAAGTTTTTGTATGAAATTCAAAGCGATATAAACTGCATATTATTAGCAGATGTTTAACTTCTCTGAAACCGCCAAAATCAGCTCTCATTAAGAACAATTCACAACAGCTGGAGCCATCTTTAGGGAAACGGCCCGAACTAATTTGTACTCCCAATAATAAATTTGTTTTTTTCTGTACAATTATTTTATCATAATATTTAAAAAATATATAAATAAGCAATTTATTTCACGTTATATTATGCTTATCTCTCGGCTTAGCGCCGAAACACTATCTCCTGATTTTTAATTAAGAATATCATATGAAATTGTGCATACATAGTAATGAAGAACTACTGTTTTATATCTTTGAAATATAACATAATATAAAATGAATACAGAATCAGTATTACAAATTAAAAGAGATGTTGGGTTGAAATGTCTATAACTTATTGTATTATACTAATAAAATTTAATTACATGCGCGTTCACCTTGTATTTGGCTCTAATTTAGATATATTTTCGTTATCGTGTTTGATATACTCACTCTTGAAGATCTCTGATCTGTTTCTCCTTTGAGTTTTGTTCCTCCTGTGTCATCTGCACGAGCTGCAATAGCCTCTCGGTCTCGGCGGCACTCCTGCCTGATTCTTCTTTTGCTTTTTCCAAATCCCTCTCGGTAATTTCGAGAGCCTTTTGCATTTCTGCTAATCTCTTGTCCGGCGCTCCGCCACTCTTAAATTGAATAAATTTAATGAAAAAAATCATTTATGAATTCATTCATGTTTAACAAATACATTTAGTAAGATTATACAGTGTTATTAATAAGAGAATGACTTATTTCTTTAAATAATAAAGTAATAATTTTTACTAAAAATAAAAATTAAATAAACTTAGTAAATATTGATATAGGATATGGGAAAAAGTTCGTGGCGATTTTTTAGTAAAATTAAAGTGTTTTTCTTAGAATATTGAAATCAATTTATTTAAACCAAATATGCTCCATTATTTTCTATAATATTTTGCCATTTTTGGGGCAGAGCCATAATTCCATCGCGATAGAACTTTTGTGGTTTCTGATCGAAAAACTGCTTCAAGTGATTTTCACAGGCCTCTTTTGTCTGTCAAGCTAGCTTTACACCATTAAGAGAGTTCTGCAGAGACCTAAACAAATGATAGTCTGAGGGTGCTATGTCAGGACTATACGGTGGATGCATTAAAATTTCCCAGCCAAGTTCTCGCAATTTTTGTCGAGTCATCAAAGATGTGTGTAATTGAGCGTTGTCGTGATGGAAGACGACACCTCCTATTGATTAATTCTCCTATTGATTAATTCTGGCTTCTCAATTGCTTGTTGTAATCTCTGCAATTGTTCATAGTAGAATTCGGAATTAATTGTTTGATTGGACGATAACAGCTCATAGTGAACGATTCCCTTCCAGTTCCACCACACACACACACAACATCACCTTCTTCCTCGTCAATCCAGGTTTTGCTTGCGCCTTCTCTCCTTTCTTTATCCACGATCTTTTTCTAATTAGATTGTCGTAGGTGATTCATTTTTCATCACCAGTTATCATTCTCTTCAGAAATGGTTCAATTTCATTCCGTTTCAGTAGCGTATCACAAATGTTAATTCGGTCATGTTCCTAACACTCAACTCGTGAGGAACCCACACATCGAGCTTCTTTTTGTATCCAGCTTTGTGTAAATGATTTAAAATTGTTTTGTGGTCGATGCCTAGTTTCCTGGCAATTTCCGCAGTGCTCACATGCTTATCACGCTCGACTTTTACCATGATTTCATCGGACTTTTTAATGATTGGTTGACCGGAGTGAGGTTCATCTTTCACGAAATTTCCAGCACGAAAGCGAGCGAACCATTTCCATGCTGCTGATTTTGATAAAGTATCTTCACTGTAAATAGCGCAAATTTTTTCACAAGCCTGTGCAGCATTCTTGCCTTTATCGTGATACTGCAAAATGTAGCGAATTTTTTTCTTATTTATTTCCATTTTCAAAATAAAATAACTTTTGATCCACTTCACCGATTTCAATCTTTTTCGGCTCAAAACAAAGGTTAAAATGTCACTTGTTAAACGCACGACTAGTGTTGCCGATGCGATTAGTTGCCGACTGCTGAGCATTTAATGCCATCTAGCGGGAAAAACGCTACGAACTTTTTCCCACATCCAATAAATTTTCTCAAATCCGAAATTAAAACTTTTGATGTTATGCTTCTATGTACGCCATAACTTCCGCTTTTCAATTAAATAGATTACAATATGGTCATTATAAATATTTGTAATTATATATATATATATACAACTAAAATTATTAATATTAAAATATTATATTATATAATCGTTTATATAAAAAGAATGTTTTGACAAACAATATAATTACCTTTTGTAATTGTTGCTCCAGTTGATCCATTCTCGCCTTTCTCTTTTTGAGATCTTGGTCGAGATTTTGGAGCATCCTCTCCTTTTCCTCTATTGTCCTAGCTTTCTGATCTACGGTCTTCGCTCGTTCTTCCATCTGTCTTCTCTGTTCGTCCAATTGTCGTCTTTGATCTTCCATCTGTTTCCTCTCTTGAATAGTATCGGCACCAGCTTTCGCGGCGCCAGCTTGGAGTTTCTTGTTCGCTTCGTGCAAATCCACCTGCATTTAGAAAGGAATCAATTGTAGCACATCCCTCGTACTTTTCCTCGCATGCATAACTTATTAATTTGTTTCTGGATTAGCCAGAAAATCAACTGCGAGACAAAGAGAGAAAGAGAAGCTGATGTGTGCTGTAAGAGCTATGACTATTCCAAAATGCAAAACCGACGACTATCTACTGTGGCTTAATGTATTGTTAATGCCATAATTTGATGGTATATAAACTTCAATGTCCAAAGTGCAATTAGATCATAAGACTACACACTAACTCTCAGTATTCCTATTTTTATGAATAAAAATCGATTGATATTTTTATTTTTTCTATAACTGATTATTAGAAATTACATAAAATTACTGCACGTAAAATAGATTTTGTGGGAAGATTGAGAGCTGCGTTCTATCGACCAAGTGGTCGACGTGAACAAAATTATGAAGGCATGAAGATAAATAATAATAATAATAATAATGATGATGATAATAATAATAATAATAATAATAATAATAACAACAACAACAACAACAACAACAACAATAATAATAATAGTAATAATAATAAAATGAATCGCAACACAGGCACTCTTTCATATCTAAATATTATATAATATATAGTGAGATATGTATATACATACAGAGAGATATATTAATTGTAATAAAAACGTGACGAGAGAGAGTATAATATAAAACAACGTATATACCTACAATGAGAAATATATGTGAGCAAACGCTCGAGATGCACCAATTATAGAGAGGAGAATACCGTTTCTTTGAGAGTTCTCTGACATACTTTTATAAAGGTTTACATCCTTGCATGCTTTTTACACAGAAGATAATTTCAGAAATCAGAGAAATAAAAATATGAAGCGATACTTCCTCATCTTATTGATGCAGAGCATGCTTTTCAACATAAATTTTTTTCACTCCTTGCTGCCACGTTTAAACGCGACATAAGCGCAGCCATAATAATAATATGACTAAATATAGTAATAATAATCGGGAAAGAGAGAGAGAAAGAGAGAGAGAGAGAGAAAGAGAGAGAGAGAAAGCGAACGAACAAACTATAATCAATTATTTTATTTTTTCATTGACTTATTTATCATTCCATTTCTAATGTCTGTGTTCAGACAATTAATTTTTTTATCTATGTGCCAATTATCAGTTGTTCTATATTTTTGCGTTCGCTTTCTTTATCATATAACAATAATAATCACAGGGCCATTGGGCAACTAAAATACAACAACGATAATAATAATTAATAATAATAATTAACGTTGACAGTAATAATAACAATAACGATAAAAACCAACAGAGACTATATATATAATCATAACAATAAAAACTTTGAACATATATTCTGATAGCAATGAGCGACAAATAATAGTGCTTGGAAATATTGTCTGGAAGAAAGGAATTAAGAAAGGAAAGATCGTTGTTGGAATAATGATCTTCTGATGAAGGGAGCGTTGCACTGTGCTGCGGATATCTGCTTGCGCACATGTATAATGTACAATAAGTGATATGTGCGCACGTGAATGGTGCAGCGTGTCTGGTTGATCCCGAATCACGCATATTAACACACATATATATATATATATGTATATGTTTGTTCGTTACATATTTTTTTCTGGCGGCGTGTGTGACAGTCTATTGGACGCGTCTGTCTTCAAATCGAAGAAGAAGAGAAGAAAGAAGAAGAAGAGACGAGATTTATCATTCTGCTTTTTCAATAATCGATTCGATTTGCACATTGGGGGATATTTTTTTGTTTATAGAATGCGGGCAGAGTGCGCAGGATAGTAATGATAGTAATGGTAACAGTTGAGGTACTGATGGAGATAGTGATGGTGCTTATTATGGTGATAATTGGTGATGTGAATAGCTGAATTGTGAACTGTCGTCAGCAGTGCGAGCGAGCATGGCGTGAGGCCGACACGTGCGTCGGAACCGTCGCCGCTGCGGCTGCTAACCTGATTCTTTTCCAGTTCCTGGCACAGCATCTCGAGCTGTGCCTGGAACCGCTCGCGCTCCACTGTCGCCTGTTGAATCTCCTCGCACGCCCGATCCAGCTCCTTTCTCAGCCTGACGACCTCTTGACCGTTCTGTTGTGCGGGCTGTTGTTGCTGTTGCTGCTGCAGCTGTTGTTGTTGTTGTTGCATGGTGACCTGCATTTGTTGAATCTGCTGTTGATGTGCATGCAACTGTCGTTCCGTCGTTTGTATCCGCTTCTGCAAGTCACCGGCCTCACGCTCAGCAGTGTCTGCCCGCTGTCGCTCCGTCTCGCATAACTTCCGCCACTGCTCAAGCTGAGCCGCGTCAGCCTGAACCGTCTCGGTGCCGCGCGACGCCAGCTGCTTCTGCAGCTCCTGCACTCGCTTCTCTGCCTGTTCGGCGCGTTGTCGCTCTTTTTGCTGCGCCTGCTGCACACTCTGTACCTGCTGCTGCAGCCGTTGTACTTCGCGCATTTGCGCATCAAGTGCCTCCTTGGCAGCGCGATCGGGTGTCTGCGCGTGGGCTCGCTGTTGGAGACGGCGGGCCTCTTCGCGCTGACGCTCGAGCTCAGCCTCGTTCGCGCTAAGCTCCTGCTGGAAATTGACCAGCATTTCCTGCGACTTCTCCAGTTGTATAACCAGTTGATCGCGCTCTACCTGCAACTGCTTTGCGTCTGCTTCCCACTTCTCCTTCATCTTTTCCGAGTGTTTCTCTCGGTTCTCCAAGATTGCTGCCATCTTGTCGCGTTCACGTTGCGCCAGCTGCAGCTCGTACTGCATCCGGGCAAGTTCTTCGTTACCAGCGAGTTGCTGCTGTTGCTGTTGCTGCTGTTGTTGTTGTTGCACGCGGCGCAATTCCTGGCGTAGCGCATCGCGTTCGTCTCGCAGCAATTGCACATCTGCGGCGAGACGTTCAAGTTCCTTCTTACTAGCCTCGGTAGTTTCCTGATATTTAGCAGTTTGCAGATGTGCTTTTTCGAGCTCTTTTGCGAGTCTGCCAGCCTCAAGTTCAACCTGATCACGCGACACGATCGCCTTGTCCAGACTGGCTCGTAGACGTTCTACTTCAATACTTGCGCTTTCGGATCTCGTCTTACCCTCGGTCTGCATCAGCCGCTCCAGCCGCACAATCTCGACACGTAATTTCTCATTGTCTGCCTCGAGCGCATCAGCTCGTATCTTCACCTTGTCATGTCGATCGCGTATCTTCTCGGCTTCGATTCGCGCACGCTCGATCTCCGAACGATTGCGTTCCTGCTGTGCCGTAGCCTTGCCGGTCTCATCGCGCGCCCGCTCGAGCTGAAGCTGCGCCTCATGCAGCTTCGCCTCGAGCTCGGCGTGGTTCGACTGCGTCCTCTTCAGCTCGGCCTCACGGCCTTCCAATCGCTCGCGTAGTTTATCCACCTCCTGTTGTAGCCTACTACCTTCGTTTTGCCACTTTTCTTGCTCGTACTGGTATTTACCTCGCACGCCTTCCGCACGCTCCAGATCGGCGCGCAGCCTCGAGGCGTCCTGCTCAGCCTTCCGTGCGCGTTCGAGTTCCGCCAGCGCCTTCTCCAAACGGTCGCGTAGCCGCTCCACCTCCAGCTTCGCCCACTCGTGCTCTTCCTTCTGTCGCTCCTGGTTCTCCTGGTACTTGCCGAAGCGTGTTGCATACCTCTCGACCTCCTCGCGCGCGTTCTCCGCCTCGGAACGCAGTCGTTCCGCCTCACCCTGCGCCTTTCTCACCTCTGCCTGCTGACGATCGTGCTTCTCGTACATCTTCTCGATCTCAAGTTGCATACGCGCAAGCTCCTCCTGCGTCTTCTCCGTCGCTGCCTGCGCCTTGTTAAGCTGAGAGTGCGCGCGCTCCAGCTCAAAGCTGATGCGTTCGTTGTCGGCCACCAACTTCTCACGCTCGTTTTGCAATCGTCGCAGCTCGATCTGTGACTTCTCGTAGCGTTCGCGCACCATTTCGAGATCTACACTCAACCGATCGATGTTCTCCTTTGACTTCTCCTCATGCTCTTTCGTACGACCGAGTTGCAGTGCCGCGCGATCGTACATTTCCTGTACTCGAGCTAGTTCCTCCTGAGCCTTACGCGATTCCTCACGTGACTTGGTTGCCAACATCTGCTGCTTCTCCGTCTCCAGCTCGAGTCGATCCTTATCCGCCTCCATAACATCAATACGGTTCTGAAGGCGATACACTTCGCTCTGCGATCTGTCATATAGTTATAAAATATTTAGTCTTTGTTTTGTTTAACTATAATTTATCTATATAAATAATTTGTGAAAATTTCATCGATAATATTTGAAATTAAAAAAAATTAAATTAAATTGTTTTAAATATCTTTATTCTTTATATCTACTGTAATATTGTAATATTGTAATATTGTAAATCAGTTATTAAGTCATGTTATGTTATACTCGAAACAATTAAATCTTTACAATTTAAATAGCCAGTATTACCTATCATATTTTTCCAACATTTTTTCAAATTCTTTGGTAGTGTTTTCTCGCTCTTCATGAGCTTTGTTCATAGAATACTGTGCCTTCTCCAGTTTCTCCTTTAAGATTTGGATTTCAGTCAGCGCATCATCTCGTTCCAACTGTTTCATCACAATTGAGAAAGAAATTTCAATTTTCTTATAATGTAATTTTTATGTAAAATAACATCAATGTTGGCTAATGAAATGGAATCTGTTTCATTCATATATCAAAATTATTTTAAAACAGAGATAATATCATTTATTACTGAGTCACTAAGGAGCTAATTCAACTCACCGTTAATTTCTGATGAGTATTGTGCGCTTTCTCCCATCTCTCCTTTACCAAGTCGAGTTCTGAGAGTACATTCTCCTTCTCGCGTTGCATCTTGGCTATCTGATTCTGCTGGAATTCTATCCTCTCGTGCATCTTCTCCATCTCTTCCTGGAAGCTATCTCGTTCTTTCTGTAGTCGTTGCATTATAATCTGACAAACAATTATGAAGGAGTTACTAAATTATTGTTAAATTTAAATCTCCATTAAAATCATTTTTAGCTAATTGCGCTCACCTGAGCTTTTTCGTACTTGTCCTGTAATCGATCCACATCAAGTTGAATCGCCTCCCGCTCTTTTTGCATTCTCGTTGATTGTCCCAATGCTTTGTCAAGCTGGCTTTGCAGATTCTCGAAATCGTAGTTCTGTTTTTCTCTTTCCATTTGCATCTGTACAATTATTATATAGCGTATGTTAACTGTACTTTAATGAATCAATAATTATTAAGAACAGTAACAAAACATTAAAATTGATGTCATTTATTTAATAACTTTCAAATTAATTAAATAATTCTGAACTAATATATACGTTTAAAGCTGATAGAGATATTTATAACAATAAATTATCCATACAACACTTTTGATTCTTTCGGGTTTACTTACTCTACGAACTTCCGTCTGCGTCTTATCGAGCTTTTCCTGCAGCTTGTCGACTTCACTTTGTGTCTTGTCCAATAAATTCTGCAACTTGTCCTGCTGAAGTTGCGCCTTACCGAGGGTGGCCTGTGTGCGCTCAAGTTCTTCTTGCGATTTTTCGAGTTCACCGATCGCCTTATCCCTCTCAGAGTGAAGACGGGCCACAGATGCCTGTGCTCGATCGTACTCCTCTCGCAAGCTTTCCTGTTCGCCTTGAGCATTCTCGAGTCTCGCTTTGAGTCTGTACACTTCGCCTTGACTTTTCTCCACCTTGAAAAGAAAAGAATTTCTATCTAATCCTTATAAATCTAATTAATTCCGAATTACATATAAACTTAACACTTTTCTGCAATTAATTGAACAAACTGCAATTATTATTTTTATTATTATTATTATATATTAGATGTAGTAAAAAGAAATCCATTATTTTTCCATTCAATTTCATGCAAAAATAATGGATTTCTTTTTACTACACATAATATATTGAGTTTCACTCTTTTTAAGAATCCTTAAAATTATCATAAGTGCAATAATAATCGCATAAGTAGAAACTGCAATTTTTTAATGCTGTCAGTTATAAATATTATTGTAGAAATAATGAAAGTTATGCATACTTCTAACATTGTAGAGAAATACTTTTTTCACAAGTACGCTCTTTGCAAAGTAAACTCAATTAAGGAGATATTACTTGACTTACAAGACCGAACGTAAACGCAATTTTTCGCGCTAGAAAGATTTATTCGTTCTCACGGTCTTTTATTTTCCGTCATTAATTTGTTTCCGCATGGAGCCAACTCAAATGGCAGGACAAATGCGAACTTAAGCACACAGTTTAGCCATGCTCTTTCAGAAACGGACGATATGGTAATGCGCGAGTAATTTTCCAGTCACTTAGGTGGCGGGATCGTTACTTCGCTGCTGGTTGCAGACACCGGGTGCAGGACGAAGACGTGATTGGAAATTGGATCTTATTATGTGAACAAAGATGAGGTAATGATGTAGGCGACAGTAGAAAAACGAGACAAAGGAGAAGAAGTTCGAGAAGAAGCGAGATAAAGATGAGAAAGAGTCTTCCAGATAAATAAGAACTCTTGTGAATTGATCGCGATTAAAATCATTTGTTGAAGATATGTGATCGATTCAAACACGATCCTAGGAAAGTGCTCGTCGAACTGCCGAGTTGCAGTCCGAAATGAATCTTCAGTCGTCCATTAATAGATCTCCGAGTGGCAATGTACCATATACAGATCATATGCTCCAGCAAAATAGTCCAGGTTACTTCTGATCAATCGATAGCACATGTAATTGATGTATAAATAGCACTCCCGAAACGAAAAAGATAAGTCGCCGCGAGATCGAAAACTCCAAATCAGGGCTTTTATTTCTTTCGTGAATTAGGACAAGCGATACTTTCATAATTCTTTAAATAACGATTCTGAGATATATATATAAAGTACCACTCTGCTAATACATAAATGATATTAAAAAATATAATAAAATAACTTTAGTCGAAACTGTAAAACATACACGGAAAAAAGAGAGTAGCTACCATAACTAAAAACTGTGTGTGGTAACTAAACGCCTTAAATAATAAGTTAAATAATAAGTTAAATATGTCTTAAAATATGGACAATTAAAATATAAGTATCATAGTTAGTCTTAGCTGTGATATCTATACTATAATAGCAAATTATTTCACCATAGTTTAAAAAAAAGTTCGTGGCGATTTATTAGTAAAATTAAAATGTTTTTCTTAGAGTATTGAAATCAATTTATTTAAACCAAATATGCTCCATTATTTTCTATAATATTTTGCCATTTTTAGGGCAGAGCCATAATTCCATCGCGATAGAACTTCTGTGGTTTCTGCTCGAAAAACTGCTTCAAATGATTTTCACAAGCCTCTTTTGTCTGTCAAACTAACTTTACACCATTAAGAGAGTTCTGCAGAGACCTAAACAAATGATAGTCTGAGGGTGCTATATCAGGACTATACGGTGGATGCATTAAAATTTCCCAGCCAAGCTCTCGCAATTTTTGCCGAATCATCAAAGATATATGTAGTTGAGCGTTGATGATGGAAGACGACATCTCTCCTATTGATTAATTCTGGCCTTTCAATTGCTTGTTGTAATCTCTGTAGTTGTTCACAGTAGAGTTCGGAATTAACTGTGTGATTGGATGATAACAGCTCATAGTGAACGATTCCCTTCCAGTCCCATCACACAACATCCCCTTCTTCCTCGTCAATCCAGGTTTTGCGATTGCTTGTGCCTTCTCTCCTTTCTTTATCCACGATCTTTTTCTAGTTGGATTATCGTAGATGATTCATTTTTCACCACCAGTTATCATTTTCTTCAGAAATGGCTCAATTTCATTCCGTTTCACAAATATTTCAGTAGCGTATCACAAATATTAATTTGGTCCTAACACTCAACTCGTAAGGAACCCAAACATCGAGCTTCTTTTTGTATCCAGCTTTGTGTAAATGATTTAAAATTGTTTTGTGGTGCCTAGTTCCCTGCAGCATTCTTGTCTTTATCGTAGTGATATTGCAAAATGTAGTGAATTTTTTCCTTATTTATTTCCATCTTCAAAATAAAATAATTTTTGATCCACTTCATCGATTTCAATCTTTTTCGACTCAAAACAAAGATTAAAATGTCATTTTTTAAACACACGTCTAGTGTTGCCGATGCGATTAGTAGTTGCCGACTACTGAGCATTTAATGCTATCTAGCGGGAAAAACACCACGAACTTTTTCCCACACCCAATAAAATAAGGAAAAAATTCGCTACATTTTGCAGTATCACTACGATAAAGGCAAGAATGCTGCACAGGCTTGTGAAAAAATTTGCGCTATTTACAGTGAAGATACTTTATCAAAATCAGCAGCACGGAAATGATTCGCTCGCTTTCGTGCTGAAAATTTCGATGTGAAAGATAAACCTCGCTCCGGTCAACCAATCACTAAAAAGTCCGATGAAATCATGGTAAAAGTCGAGCGTGATAAGCATGTGAGCACTGCAGAAATTGCCAGGGAACTAGGCATCGACCACAAAACAATTTTTAATTTACACAAAGCTGGATACAAAAAGAAGCTCGATGTTTGGGTTCCTCACGAGTTGAGTGTAGGAACATGATGGACCGAATTAACATATGTGATACGTTATTGAAACGGAATGAAATTGAGCCATTTCTGAAGAGAATGATAACTGGTAATGAAAAATGAATCACCTACGACAATCCAACTAGAAAAAGATCATGGATAAAGAAAGGAGAGAAGGCGCAAGCAATCGCAAAATCTGAATTGACGAGGAAGAAGGTGATGTTGTGTGTGTGATGGGAAGAGAATCGTTCACTATAAGCTGTTATCGTCCAATCAAACAATTAATTCCGAACTCTACTGTGAACAACTGCAGAGATTACAACAAGCAATTGAAAGGAAGAATTATTCAATAGCCAGAATTAATCAATAGGAGAGGTGTCGCCTTCTATCACGACAATGCTCAACTACACACATCTTTGATGACTCGGCAAAAATTGCGAGAGCTTGGCTGGGAAGTTTTAATGCATTCACCGTATAGTCCTGACATAACACCCTCAGATTCATTTGTTTAGGTCTCTGCAGAACTCTCTTAATGGTGTAAAGCTAGCTTCAAAAGAGGCCTATGAAAATCACTTGAAGCAGTTTTTCGATCAGAAATTACAGAAATTCTATCGCGATGGAATGGCTCTGCCCCAAAAATGGCAAAATATTATAGAAAATAATGAAGCATATTTGGTTTAAATAAATTGATTTCAATACTCTAAGAAAAACACTTTAACTTTCACTAAAAAATCGACACGAACAGTTTTCCCATGCCAATATATTTAACAAATTATGACAAATCAAACTCATCAATCTTCATGAGTCGAAAAAGTCAGAGAAATAAAAAATTTTTGAAATGAATTTATTATTAACACACATTTTGAATTTATTGTAATTTACTATTAAAGTTCATGTATCGTGTCTCAAATGATGACAAAAATAAGAAATTTACCTTTTCTTGGAGAGTTGCAGCTTCGGCACGTGCCCTCTCATTGTCCGCTTGCGTGACCCTCAGCTCGGCCTGAGCTCTCCTTAATTCTGTGGCCGTTTTGTCGGCCCGTTCCTGAACACGCTCCATCTCTTGGGACGAGTTCAGTGTGCTTCTACCGTAACCCTGCGATCGTTCCATGTCATGCCGTAGCCTTTCGTTCTCCAGTTCCAACCTGGCCAATCGCTGTTTTGCCGCCTCCCAGTCTGCGCCGCTACGTCCGACCTCGGAGGCGGCCTTATCCAATTCAGCCTTGCTCTTGCCAAGCTCGGATTGTGAGCTCTCGAGCTTCGCTTCTAACCGGTCCTTTTCCGCTTGCGCTCGTTCCAAACGTGCGCCTAATTTTTCGACCTGGCGATTCATACATGGAAAAAAATAATATAAAAACTTTGTTTTGTTAATGCTTTACATCATAGTATCTTATTTAATCTCTCTTTACAAAAAGATGTTTAATAAATTTATCATTTATTTTATTAATTATTTATGTACTTTAATAGTGGGTAAAGGATGAGAAGTTAAAAAAAAATTCGTTTATCTAGCCTTGCTCACCTCGGATTCTAAAGTATGTATTTTCATTTTGTATTCAGCGATTTCTCTTTCGTGCAATTCCCTCTCTTCCTGTTTCTCCTGCTCTGCTCGATCCCTTTGCTCACGTAATTGTGCCATTTGTTTCTCTTTATCCCCAATCGCCTCCTCGAGACTACTAAGTGCACCTTCGCTGCTGCAATGATGCGCTTGCATTGCCGTCAGCCTGGCCCTGGCCATGTCGACTTGATTATCTTTCTCCTTCAGCAAATCCTCCAGATTCTCGATCTAAAATCAACACCAAACTCAGCAATAATTGTAAAAAACAAAGAGTGTTAGCTCATTCATCAATCGATTGTTAGTACAGAAACAAACGAGAATATTAATTTTTTTATTTAAAAACGATTCTATCTATTTATTTCTAAAGTGAGACAACTCAAAAAATGTAATCTATATTGTACTGACGTATTTCTGTTAAGTTGAAAAATAATTTATTGTCATCCTTTTCTGAAAAACTTATTTTTTTAGCTTGTCACAAAATTATTTAAAGTAAGAAACCGATGTCTTTCTCTGTTTTATATAGTTCTGGAGATTTTTAATTCATTCCTAAAATCGATATAATCATACACTTAACTTTTGATATAATAGAAAATCTTACTCTTTTTTTTCTGTTTAATATCGCGTTAAACAATGTAACTGTTACTGAATTATTACATATTTCGTAAATAGATAAAGAGAGAGGAAGGCATGGAAAGATAAATTAATACACATCAAAATTATGGTAGATTTAGGAAATTAAACTTAGAATGATCTTTTCATGCGATCTTCACACAAATAAATTCAGCCTATTCGCAGTCAGAGACATTGTATCATGCAATCTCCCAAGATATCAATATGGGATAAATTATCGTAACCACTTACCTGCCAACGCATTCTTTTCTTTGTAGACCTTCTTTTATTCATATAATTATATACAGACATCATCGTCACGACAGGCATGCTAATGTAAAAATAAATACGGTGTTTGTGTGAAAGCAAATAATAGATTCTATAAATAGCGTAACATAACGTAATATAAATATGATGCCTAATAATAGTACAGGCGATAATCAAATTAAATATTTAAATTAGGTGTAGAAATTAATATAAATTATATGTACAGAAACCAATTAGATATAATATTACATAAATTAGACAATTAGTATACATAATAAATTAACTTACAATTTGTTATTAAATAAATACAATAATGGACGTATAAGGGGAGTAGGATATTTCATTATTTGACAAATTAATGTTTGTTTCATATTTTCTTATACATGATGTAGACATAATTAACGCAAAACAACAAATCAATTAATAATTTCATATTTACGTAGGAATATAATCCATTACAGAAATGATAGACGAAAATAATACTATAAACCACAGAAATCACAGAATAAATTTATCTTCTTGTTTTTTTACAAATTTCTTATCTTTAGAAATCAATTGCAATAAAAGAAAGGTTCTACACATAAGAATCGAGTGTTCAATGTACGAAAACTAAGACAGAAACATAATAATCCTGCGAATAATATTTTATCGCTTGTAGAGAACGTAACTTAAAGAAAAGGGAAATGCAAATTAACAAAAAAAAATTACGTAACAAAAAATACGCTACGGATACGAATATAGTGCAACAGAACGTAACGTCTTCGTCAACTGCGTCTTCGCAATTTACATCCGCGGTTACTATACATCGATTAGTAAACGCAAAAACAAGAAACGTCACATAACTTACAAAGGCGAGTATGCGCGCGCGCGCTCACACACACACGCACGCGCGCACGCACGCACGAACACACATTACATATCTAATCGACGGATCTATTGACACGTGCATTCTCCTTTTCTGGCATTGCAATATCACGGGGATGACGATACATCGAATGCATTACGTCGATCTTTTTCAGCCGCTGCGACAATTAATGCTTATAATACTTTGTGTAAGTACACGATGTGCGCCTCTAATCCTAAAGGATCTCGCATCTATTCCATCGAACATGAGAAGGAAAGGGAAGACCTTTGTCATGTTCACGAAGCTATTGAAGCGATAATCAAAGGCATACTATCAAAGCGCGATCAAAATTATCGTCGCGAACAAAGAGCCAGCAGATAACTATAGCGCATTTTTATCACCGTGTTTTATCGCAGGTATTTTTTTTTTTTAATAGGAGAATCTTATGGTAATGGCAGACCTAGGCTACTCAAACTGTACAATTATATGTATGACATTTTGTACATTTTTATCCTTATTGCACACCATATATGATTTCCTTTTTACTTTATGCTACATTTATGCAAATTATCTCCAATTAAATGCAAATACATTTCGCTTAAATCGGCACGCGTTGTCAAGACGTTAAAAATTTATCCTCGATGAGACAATCGTAATCGATGTAATTTTTGTCTTGGGATTATGGTCATCACATGTGCGATCGATACCGAATTTTATGTTTCGCAGTGTCAGCACATACGTCACCCGTTGTGGGATCAGCTTCCGGAATTTTCTCAAAGAGCCGATTACAATTCATGAGGCGATTGATTGAATTTCGTACTTGTACTCATGCGCATTCTTCCTCTGTGTGGGAGTCTGTGACGTGGGTGTATTATTCAACTCTCCCACTATTTTAATTCCTTTCGCTTTACATTATTATTGTAATATACAAATAATAGACTCTCAAAAAAAAAATAACAAGGACAGGCCAATAAAAGTGCAAACATAGTTTGCGTTACGCGCAATAAAAATACTTTTAAAACAATTATAAAGAGTTGAGAAATTATAATTATGATAATAGAAATTAAAATAATGATTCACATCCCTGTAGAAACAGTTAAATATCACTCATAGATTTCTAGCCATTTAACTGTTCTACGAGGGACGTGAATCATTATTCGATCTATGTTTGCTAAGGATGACTCCAAAGTCGAAACATATGAAAATTTAGAATATATGCGATATTTTATAATATTATAACTTCTCAATCTTATAATTATAATTGTTTTAAAAGTATTTTTATTGCGCGTGACAACCTGTGTTTGCACTCTTGGCCTATCCTTGTTATATTAATTATATGTTAAAATTATAGACACTATTCTGTCAATAAAAAGTAACAATATGTTTATCAATTGTTTATTGTATTTATATCATTTAACTATCTGTGATTTTTTTAATTCTCAATAAGTGTGCGTATTGAATTTATCAATGTATTGCCATGCTATATATATGTGCACTTATTTGCCAATCGCTTTTTCTAAACATCTAAATATTTTTTAAATTTTCAAAGTACAAGGAGACATTTTATTATTTTATTTTTCATTTTTAACGCTGACTTCTCTTCACATGCAGGAATCAGACAATAATAATGTCACTATTATGCATGAGCACATGTACATTGGAAGCATAAGGTTTCCATAGTTACAATGAAGAGAGAGAATGATACAGAATAATATGAAAAGCTTCTCTTCACATCTTGCAACTTTCCCTTAAAATGACAAATGATTAATTTCACAATCTGTATTAACACATATTTTCTTAAGCGCTAATTTCTTCTGCGCGATAAGAGAAAATATTTTGCTGGACTTGTCCGCTTTTGCATTTGCATCTTTCCTCAGATGAAGAACTAAACGTGCAGGATAAGGAAATTTCATTTTGCAGAAGTTATCTGCTTCGAACCGGCCATCTCCTCACATAATACTCACTCGTTTCGAATTAAGAATCATAATGAGATAATTCTTCGCGCTGTGATATGGCTCTTGATGCAAATCTTACGAGTTTGCGCGAAAATGGTAAAAGTGTAGAAATGAGTTGAGAATAGATAGTAAAATGAAAGTGAACGAAGCCTTTTGACGACAGAGTCTTGAGAAAGAAAATTTCTCAGTGAGGAAACTGGAAGTTGACTAAATGAAGGAAGGAACTCACCTTTCGCTGTAGAACATTGATCTTGCGATCCTTGATGTCCATGTGATCCTTGATTTCTGTTAATTCGGTGTTCATGCGATTGCGCTCCTGTTGCGCCTGCATTGCCGCCTGCGTTTTCTTCTCGATCATCCGGTTCTTCTCCTCGAGTCGCTGTCGCATCTCCTCGACCTGCACATTTCGGAGCGGAGCGATAAAAAGGAAATGTCACTGAGGACCGGTCGACGAGAGAAATCTTCAGGCGAGTCCAAATCGTAAATATTTAGCGCGCAATATGTACTACGCACGTACACGCGACGGAACACGAAGCGACATAAGTGAGGAAGAAAAGAAGAAGAGGAAAGGAGAGAGAAGCTCGACCCAGTTTTGCACGACAGCTTGGCCTTCCTCTCTTCATCGATGGCCTCTTCCGGAAACACGTGATTTGCCGTAGTTTTAACTGAACTCCTAGCCATCAGACTGATTTGTCAAACGAATGTGATTGTCATCTCGCGTCGTCGTTTCTTAACTCATTTGGGAAGAACCCTTCTCGAAGAGTTCTTCCAAAAGTTAAAAAATCTATGGAGTATATGCATTTTTTCCTTCTTTGAGTGCTTTGATAAGTTAATTTGGAGAGGATCTTTTTTGGTATCTTTTTATTATACAATATTTAGCATTATGATGTATACATGTAATTAACATTATGATGTATACAGAATTGGGAAGTAACGCATTGCTTGTAACGATGTTACATTTTCGTTACCTTTTTTTTTATAACGATTTGGTAATATTGTTAATTCTTTTTATTAGTGAGAGAAAAGTAACAACGTTACATTTTTTTTAGTAACGAAACTGACTCCATTACTCTTGTATTGTTACTTTTTATAGATCACGGACAATAAGATTATGTAGTTAAATAAATAAATAAATAGAAAACTTTTTGCCTATTTTTGTTTCATTCACTATCCTCGCTTTAGCATAAGAACATTAAAAACTAAAATATCTATTATATAATAAAATATCACAGAGTGATTTATTGTAAAATATCATAGAATTAAACATAGGTATGTAAAATATTAATAAAAGATAAAAATGTTTAAAGATAAATATCTTTCTAAATATTTCATATTTAATTTATATTCTGTCTTAGCATTCTGTTCTTAGAAGCTTAGAATTACACTTGTTTTAACACTAAAAAAAGTGTAATTATGCAGAAAACAAGTTTATTCATCGATTTTGATGAAATTAGAGTCATTCGATGTATTTTTGCACGAAATGAATGAATGAATGATAGATTTCCTTCAATAGTCATCAACTTTAACCATATCTCAGCTCGCCCGGCAGAGCGACTTATTTTTCTGTCAGATTCGTTCAATACGTCGAATGATCCTAATTTTATCAAAATTAATAGGCCGTCTCTTGCATAATTACAAAATAAGTAACAAAAAGTAATGATTTTTTATCTTTTAAATAACGGTACCGTGTCACTTTTTAGAATCGATAATAAGTAACAAGTTACTTTTTACTGCAAATAACGCGTTACTTTTAAACAAATAATTTTCCCATTTTTACACTTTTTATCCTGGATGTATAAAAGATATAGACAATTTGGAATAAAAACAGATTTTTCATTATTAAATGAAGAGCAAAATTCCAAAATGCATTTTGTTCAAAATTTCAATTTTTTAGTTAGAGATGGCGTAGTGTTCAATGTTGAAAGACTCATTATAAGTTACTCTGAAATATTCAGAGACACACACTTTATATAAATAGATAATGTAATGCTGACAATGTAATAGAAATAGATGAATCTGATTCCGAGTTTTTCCTTGTTTTAAGAGAATTTTTTGTTTTAATTCCTATATACGTATATGTATGCGTTCTGTTTGTGACAGATCGCGTAAATTTATGTGAAGACACTAACGTTATCATTCGTGTGATTTATCTATGAGAGTGAGCGAACACAAATATGGCGCTGATCAGCGCTGTCTTCAACATGGAGACGAAGTCGTCCATTTATAGAAGTCTGTATTCAGAAAGCATTTTTTCATCATTAATTTATGTGCTAAAAAAAAATATTTGAAATGCATTTAACTAAAAACAAACAAAATGCATTAATATTTTTAACAATTGTTTAGCAATTTTGTTTAATATTTTACATCCTATTGATTAACATATTGTTATTTTCTGTAAAGTGCGTAATTTTCTTGTGTGCGGAATTTCTTTTTTTCTCATTTTCTAAAAATTACAAATTTTTGTAACAAACAAAACGCACTTTGAAAGTCTATTCCTCAAATATTTTTTTAGTTTTTACAAATTTTTAATTCTAAATATAAGACAAAAATAAAAAGTTAAAAATTGAAAATATAAAATAAGAACGCGAGATTTTTGTACTTTTTATACTAAAAATTTGGTTTTCTCTCTTCGTAATTTTAAGCATTCTACAACTAGAAAATTACATCTTGTAAGATGCTGGGAAGCATCTTATAATATTTTCTAGCATCTTATAATATTAAACTATTTTCAATCGAGAATAACTTTATGATGCAGATACAAATCGACTAATGTTTCTATGGGGTTATGTTGACAGATACCCAAGTTTATTGTATGAGGTCTATGATCTATTTATTTCGATCACCACTTACCGCTAAAGCCATCTATAGGAAAACGGCGAAAGCAAAGTTGTACACCTAATAATTTTACTCGATGTTAGAGCTTCAAAGAAATTTCTTAGTTCTCCGAGCTTGCTTTTAACTCTTAAAAGTATTAAAGGAGCGTGTAAAGGCTAGGAAAATTAAACCAACGACTTCTTTATTTGAGATAATGATCCTTTATCCGAGTTTCTGGATAATAGCATTAGGATAGTTTGGAACTTTGTTGCAACCACATTCTAGAGAATGTATTCGAAATGTATTCGAAACAAACACCCGGATTTTAGAGATGCGATCAGAAATTTGGTATCGATTTCGAGTGTCAGTTGTGTTCCAGTTTCGCATCAGTGTGAATAACAAAATCTGCGGTAAACTTGTTTACCGAAAACATATTTGGTAAATTTCTGTAAATTCGCATATATTTTCTATCATAGTAATGAAAATTTTTTGTTTCTGAAAGCAACGAGAAATGACAAACTAACAAATTTATTTCTAAATTCAAATTTCTAAGCATAACACATAGAATTACATCAGCATAATTAAACAAACTATTTCCTATACTTAAGAGAAAATTTTCTTAACAACACTATAATTATTTGTCTTAAATACGTTGTCTTTAAACCTTTTTACAATTTTGCAACAAATTACAAAATTTAACTACATAAAAAATAATATATGTATAAGAATTTATGACACTACATTTTTTAAAATAAAACAAAAAAAAATTGAAGTTACACTTACATCAGCTTGCAGCATATTATAATGTTCCTCCTTGGCGCAGAGAGATTCCTTGAGTACGGCGATGTGTCTCTGATAATCCTGATGTTGCTCCTCGAGCGTCTTCATCTTCGCCGACATTGCCAGCAGCTCTTGGTCTCGTCGCTGTACCTCTGTCCGGAGCTCGTCCAGCTGCGAAAAGATTCGTCGTCCAGGCGAGGATCAGTCCCTGAGCTCCGTCCGTGTTGGCGATGACGACGACGACAACAACAGACGACGTAACGACAATGGCGACGAGCGACAGCGGTATTAAAACCGTCTGTAGGCTCTTCACCATGTCCGAGTACGACGACGATGATAACCTCATCTAATAAGGATCAGGCAAGGATGCGCGCACAAATGTTTTCTTTTAATGCAAAACCGTGGCTGTAGCCTCGTTTGGATATTTTTAACTTAATTGATGACAATGAGTTCTAATTTAGCAAAGGCGACAACTTTCAAAACAAAAAATATCGAAAACTGTCGAAACGAATAATCGTAATTTATGAGTTTTTTTATTAAGATTTAAATATTTCCGATTTATCAAATCCTTTAACTCCGAGAATTTGAGTTAATTGAAAAAAAAAAATTGTAAATCTAATTTATTCTAAATTCAATGAAATAGTAGATAGTATTCTCCAATTTTTTGATGATATTACAATAACTGTAAAAAAGATCTTTTATGCAACACACTTTTCGCGCCTGCATCGTGCCGCATATCTTAAATTATTCCTCCAAATTGCGCGCGAAATTGGTTTCCGAGTGAACAGCCTTGCGGGATATAACCACGGAGTTACTTAATTGCCGTTGGACTTTGACACGAGTCGCTCTTGAGAATGATCGAGATTACTTTAATTAAAATTATGTCGACGTAGATCGACTCTGCAAAAGGTTTTCACATCGAGAATTAAAAATCGCATTGTCGTCCTGCTCCATTCCATTGCTATTTTTAATTCATTTATGCACCTTTCTTGATTCCTGAATGGAATCAAGAACTTAATAAAGAAGGCTGACATTCGAGCTATTACGATCATGACCTAATTACAAAGTCAAACAAGAAACTGCGCGAGTCAGTTTCGGTCGAACCTAAATTTATAAGATCAATTCGATTTCTTGAACTTTGCTCAAATCCAAAATCTATTAATAAATTCTTAAACTTTTTACAACTTTTTGTTAATCGCAGTTAACTAACTTCCCTTTCTAGCTACACAGCTAAACTAATCTAAAGAGGGATGAAGTCTCGGGCTGAGTTAGTTAACCCACTGGAATTGATCGATTCTATTGAACCAAACTGACTGCCTGGATCATAGACTTTCTTAACGTATAATAATTATTAAGAGAATCTAGTATAAAAATAATAAAAAAGTCAAGGAGGAAAAAAACATCGTCGTACTCGGATAGGATTTGCACGAAGCATGCAACATAGTTGAGGCCAGCGATACAAGATTACAAACAGTGTTTCTTGGGAGTGTAAAAGATGCACATGTATATATATTTATTTATACGTATGGATTATGCACATTCGTATATAAGTAAATATATATGCACACGTGTACACACACAGCGAAGTGTGCTGGAGACATATGAATACACAAAAAGGTGTAATCTCACGCGCACGCTCAGGAAAGGATAGAGATATTCGGAATCACGTTGATATGTCTCTTTTATTTTCGTGTACGTACCGCTTGTCTACTCTGGGTTGTCGGCAGGTCGCATGAAAAGACTCGTCGCGACATATCGTCAGAATGCGAGATCTCGCGACGATCTTAAAGCAGAGTCGTGATAAACGCAACACAGCTACTATTGACTAATCACTACATACGTAAATGCGAGCGAGATCGCGATTCCATGAGGTCCTCCCTGAAAATTGCATAGCTTCGAAGTTTCGACTTCGAGCCAAAGAAAATATGGACTTAATTAGAAAATAATTAGTGCTTGAAAACTTAAATTCTTGTATTTTAATTCCCTTATTCCGAAATTTAATGTGAGCTTTGCTTTCTAAAAAATGATATTTTAGATTGTAATTTTTACACACGGAAAAAGAAAGTAGCTACCGTAACTAAAAATTATGTGTGGTAGCTAAATGATAGCTAAATGTAAAATTGCCGTAATAAAAATTTATAAATTTATAATAACGGCAGCAAATATATTTTGACAAACCAAGATTAACTATGACAGAGAAATTTGTTTTCCGTGCAACAAATAATATATCACTGCAATGTATTAATAGCTTTTCAATATATGTTCTAATTTTTTTAGCCAAATGTCATACATATAGTATAAATATAGAGTTATAATAATTCCTTTATTTTGCATAAAGATTTCAAATGTAAGAAAATTAATTATGAGAATCATTTGATTCGCGCGTAGTAAGGATAGAGGACCTCTGTCATGCGTCTCATACTATATCTAGTCAAGACACCAGATGAGAAATGAGCGAATCGTTATCATATTTTCTTTCTCAGATGCGAAGACACTTGAGAAATCTACGTTTGCATTTGAGAGAAGAAATTCAAGATGTAAGTTCGCTCTCATCCAGTGTCAGCTATTGATTTAGATTTAATCAACAGCGGCTATCACGGCATCCACGACGGCGGCAATATCGCCCCGCATCAATCCTCAAAGTCATGGAAGTGACGGAGGGTGCGTACTCCCTCGCTCCGACGACGATGATGTCGATGATTATCTACAATGATTATCTACGTGTCACTAGGTCACACACACGCACGCACACGCATACAACGATTCTGTCGAATGATGTTGACGAAGGTGAACGAAAGTCCTTTGTTTCTTTCGCTCTTCCGACCGATATGGGATGGACGAGTTTGAATAATGATGAGTCTGGGAAAGTAACGGTCTTCCTCTAAGAAATCATTGTCTAGAGACCGGTGTGTAAGTTTTTTTTTCTTTTTACGTGAGATGCGTGAAATGATGATTGCGAGACAGTCGGTCAACGATTCACGCCAATAGGAAGACAGAGTTTGAGAAAGAGATAGAGACAGAAAAAGATATACAGAGTAACAAGTACAGTGGCTACGATATACATCGAAACACTCCGTTACATAATACGGTAATCATGTAGATGGAAACAGAGAGGGAAGGATGATGGTGTTTGTGGTGGCGGTGATGATGATGGTGGCTCGGAAGAGCTTCTTGGGCGGGTGAAGAATTTCCTTACCTCCTCAGAAAGCTAGAATATTGGGGCACCACTTTTAATAATGCTTCGCTCACCACGAAGGCCGTCCAACTCCGCCGTCCCTCTTCCGAACGTACGTTCGCTCGTTTTTATATCCTTATATCTTAGATGTCCCGGAATCTACGAGCTTAATTATAATGACAGACTCCTCGGCGAATTCGGAGTCAATTTTTCATACGACGAAAATTTCAAAGTACATACTTTTATATGCAATATTTTAATATTTTTATCGAATAATTAAGTAATTAAATCTCTAATTATGGCACAGTTAGACTCACTTGAATTTAATTGTGAAATGAACTTTTATTATATAAAGTCCGGAAATTTATTTAAAAAAAAAATTTTTCATCTTTTTTTATCAATATTATATGATTCATTTCAAGAAAAGAAAAATCTGCTTCGAATTAGTCAAAGAGTCTGTTGTTAAAATTAAGATCGAAGGTTTTGGGACATACTCATATTATAATTCAACATCTTAATTAATTAAAGACTATAGTGAGTTATTATTTTTTATTTTAACTAAATTTTTAAATGTGTATGTATTTAATTATTTTAGTAATATTGGTGATAAAAAAATATTCATTCCGACTGTTAGAAGAGTTCTGCGGAATTGGGGATTGCCATCCATTGCTGACTTATCGCTAACTTAGCTCTATCTTAATTGTTAGTTGTACCTTAAGCTCTATTGGACAAGAGGTGACATTTATTTTATTTACGAGTCACGCGATTAAATTCGTTACTTTGCCTTTTTTATCACTTACTCATTATACTCTATAATAAGCAAACTTGTATCGGAAAGCCGCGCAAAATTGATCTATGTCAATTTCGTTTTCAATTAATGTAGCTCAGTTATTGACGTGCATGAAATGAGAGTAGATCAGTATAGAACAATATATATCTATTTTATATCTAACAATAGCATGAAACTATTTTGAATTCCTACATAATAGTAGATAAAATCAATGAATTTCTACGTAATAATGCAAATAGATAAAATCGATATTATGGATAATAATTCTTTGCAACAATTTCTTACTTAACAATTTTTTACTTTGATTTTAAATTACAGTTAAATTTTCTTGCATTTCTCCAAAAATCAATCAAGATTACATTTGTTACATTTTTTTATGATGTGATAGATTTAAGTTTTAAATTCTCTATTCACGCAAACATTTTCAAGATAGGCCTAAACATTTGGACATAAACTAAAGGACTGCAGTCATAAAAAATATTCTCTTTCAACTGAGAAAATTTTTCAACGCGACAGGACTCGTAGATAAACTAAATGATCTTCTCCGTCTCACTCTCGTAGACGAAATGCCGAATTAGCGGGCTCTCCCGATAGGTAATCCGACGTTCGTGGACCTTCGCGGACAATGATCCTTATGTCCACGTATGTCTTATTCGCCGAACGGGACGAACGGAACTGACAGCTAGATGACAGATGCAGATTCTCTGCGCGCGCGTGCAGCATGCATACAGCGCCTCAAGAGTGAGGCCGGCGGGGTATTAAAGGGGTTTGATAATATGAGGGAAGAGATGGCATGCGTCTTTCTAATTGCGACACCAAGGTCTCTATGGACGGGATGAACAAGAAGTAAAGGAGATAATGCAAGAGAAGGATTATGAAACAATGATGGCGGATAATTTCGTATACTTGCCAATGACGAGCACGAGGCAAATCGCACGTGATCAACGCATGATTGCCCTCGCATTAAAATGGCGCGCTCTCTCGGCGTGACCACTTTTTCAGATTTTCGCATAATTGACGACGATGATCAAAACAATCACGAGCAAACAGATGAAACGGGAAAAGATAACGCGATCTCACCGGGAGAGCTTAGACAATCGTTCAACGACGATAAAAGCGATGTTGGACGAGCGAGCTTATGGCGGCTCCTCGCGACTGTCTTTCTCTCTCCTCTCTTAATTAACAAAAAATCTCCTAAATTATATTTCATATCATTAGATTAATATGTATTTAGAAGATTTTTATAATTTTATTTCAAGTATCTTTTACAATAATTTACGATTAAAAAAATAATTAAAGAGATAATTTCTATGACTTGATTAAGAAAGAACTTGGTTATGAAAGAACAGCGTCGCAAGGAGCTTCGATGAGTAGCCCGTAAAATGACGATGAGGATGACGACGATGACGACGTGAACGATAATGAACGTCTGCTGCGATGACGTACACTACAACCATGTAATTCCTAACGATGCATGCAACATGCTGGACTTAAGTCCCCATGCGAGTTGCACGACTCGAAGAGAGACGATGATCATCATGGAAGCTACCGAACAATCTATCTCGTGCGATGATTTTTGCGCGTATGTGTTTCATGTACAAGTCTGCTTTGACTAATTTGTGATTCAATGACTGTGAAGAAATGAGCACGAACCTGCGATGATCAGAAAGAATGATTTGTAGCGACTCGAAGATCCATATTCGATCTAATGACATGACAATCGCAAAGTTGATGAAATTACTAATGACTATAATACTTTTGTATAAGATCGACTCGTCGTAATCGAGAATTGCAATTCAATTTTATGGAACGAAGATGAAGTAAAAAATGTGAAATGCGTGATACAATGATTGATATTTGATTGATTGTTTTGTGTCGCGTGGCAGGTATACATATGAAATTGTAAATTCTTCTTTTGAAATAGGAAATTATTGAACAAGGAAAGGATGAGGAAAGAATACTAATATGTAAACATTGTGAGTTACGGAAAAATATAGGAAAATGTGATTTTCTTTCTTTCTCTCTTCTTTTTTTTGTCATGATTGATTGTTTATGGTAACATAATTATCTTTATCGTCGTTGTAATTTTGATTAATTACAAAAAAACATAAAAATAATTTAAGTGTTCGATAATTTCGTCGACATGATTTAATTGTCTGAAGATGTGATGCCAATAAAATAAAAATATAAACTTGCGACGAAAATGGTTTACCAATATTCGACTCGTATGTTGAGATTTTTGCGTTTGGTATGCAAAATGCAGTCGTCTCATCCGCGAGAAGTCAACCTGCGCAAACAAATTCACATCCACCATTTAACTCTTTTATAAATTTAATTTAATTTTCTTCGTCCTCTCGAGACGAATGTAAGCAAAGAAAAATGTCCTTTGAGCGCAAAAGCGTTTGCCATAATCCCATTTCTAAACTGCCATCTCGAAATCATCATGTTGCTAGCAAAGCCATAAGATGGGAATTACATAATTCCGATTAAAATTATATTCTAAAATAAATAAATGTTTATAAAATAAATATACGCACTTATAATATTTTTACATAATGCAAAACTTTAGAAGAAAACCACCGTTCGTCCGAAAGAAGTTTAGTATAACATCAATTACATTATATTATTTTTTATATATTTTAATGAAGGTCGATTTAGAATAAAACGAGCTGCGATGGATGCATCTTTGCAATGACCAAATTAAATTGGCCAAAAAAAAGAAAAAGAACAAAAAATCAATTCTCTTCTCTGTGCGATATCTATTGCGAATCCGATGAATCCTTGTATCAGTCACCAGGGTGTCGAATCTGCTGAGGATTTTAAGGAGGATCGGCTTCACGGCACGCACCGCGAAAACAGAGGTTGGCAATGAGCGAAAACAAACTCTCCTCTTTAAATTTTTTCTTTATCACATTATTATTATTATTATTATTATTATTATTATTATTATCATCATCCGCAGCAGCAGCATGATTATAACATTTTTCAATATTATAGCCGGTTTTTCATTATCACGAGAGCGTATCTCGCCCATTTCCTCAATTTAGGAGGCGCAGTCCGAAGAGGATCATTCGTTTAAAGCTTTAAAGATGAAGCTGACCTTGCGAGCGTGTGAAATTCAGGACGTTCGTCTTTCGTATGAGTGAAATCGCGAAACGTCGCCAAGGCACCGGGTAACATATTTGGATTGTCGAAAGAAGAGGATCGGTTCCCCTGTCTTTCCGGATGCCAGTCGTCGCGATTTTATCCTCGATACAATGGAATAGAATAGGCTTTCTACAATAAATCATTACTTCATCCTTAAGTTTTAAGCTGTAAGAAATTGACTAATCATAGTCGATTATTCTTTTCATATTCGATTGGTCAATTTCATACGGCTTAAGACTTAAAATTTCGGTAATGGTTTATTGTAGAAGGGATGAAGAACGGATCGGTCACGGTTATACCCAGCTTGACCACTGTAAGTGCATTTCGCAATCGTTGCAATTCGAATTGCGATTAATTAATCGACACCCTGGTGTTTTCATCTCCGCGCGGACGTGGCGATCATCGTGTGTCCGACTCTCGCGTATTACACCCGGATATATCGCGACACGACGTCTTATGATCTAGTATACACAGAGAATAGAAAAATAAGGATTGTCACAACCTCAGAACGCGCGCACAGCCTCGGCGAGCAGAAGAATCGTTGAAAACATTTTGAGCGTGATGTTCGGAACAGAATGAGAACTTCTCGACAATCACTTGCATTAGAAGCACTCAACTCGATCTACATTATGCAGCTATGGTTAAGCCGGGTATAACCTGTAACATCCCCAAACATATCGGGAGGAAAAGAGAAGATTGATTGGAGAAAGGAGTGCATGGGATTAAATCGCTGTGAGCTACGAAAATATTATTTTCGGCGGAAGCTTCAAGTATACTTTTCTTTTTCTTCTTATCTACACACATCGTATACGTATACGCATCACACACACACACACACACACACACACACACACACACACACACACACACACACACACACGCACGCACGCACGCACGCACGCACACACACACACACACACACACACACACACACACACACATGTGCATATGTGGATACAGGATCTTCATATACATATATATTTACAGATGCATGTGTATGCATATTAATATATATATTTATATATGATAGATCTTTCTGCGTGCCATTCGAATAATTTCTTTCTTTTTTTGATAATCTCTTCTTTCGATTTCTTCAATTTCTCGCTGCGCGTTCGCAAACAAGATCAACATTCATATAATAGACATTTTCAGGATTTCAACAATGTTCTCATAAATTCACAATCTAAAGCCTATAAGAATTTTAAGAGTACGCATGATTTTTTTAATCGCGTTGTAATAGAAGCTATTGAAATATACATGACTTTCTCATTGACTTTCTCACTGCGAGATTCAGAATCCTCGCGACATGTCTCCCTCTTCAAGCGCTTCGTCTTGTGCTTCTTCAACACTTTTCCGTACATCATCAGCATTTGATAAATATTCTTGGATAACCAGAATAATTAATTCTTCGGATATTTAGGTACATTTAAAAAAAAAAGTGTCCAAAATATTCATTAGAATATTTCTGATATGATATCTTGCAGACTAGAATTTTGAATATTCTTCATAATGTAACTGTTATTTGCTCTTTTTTACTGTGTCAAAAATAATAATGTAAAAATTATTATATAATTCATATTACTTTATACTGCTTTCTTAAAAATTTTGAAAGCGAATTTTGACGCGATTTAAAATTTTTAACTCTATTAAATGAATTATGTAATTTTCTTTTTTGAGATATTTCTATTTAAAAATATTACTTTAACGTTATTTGAATTATTAGCAACGCTTTTATTCATATTTTGTATTCAAGAAAGCAAAGAAATCTGAGTATCGCTGATCTTGATATCCAAGAACATGTCTGGCTACATATGTCCTATTCCACTTTCTCCGCGACCCGCGTCGCGGGAGCAACTAGCTTTCTTCTTTATTGCCCTCTGGAGGGCTATTACTGAAAGTTAACGGAAGATCAAAGATCGTCCGAAACCTTATCATGCTATAACACAGAGGGATTTTTCGAACGACGCATAAATGTCTGTGCATCTGCAGGGTGCAACCTGGGAATTCCTCGCATTAGAAATGAATCGCGTGTTGCGCGGTCTCGAAACAGAGTTCGCCGAAGAAAATTTCACTTCGAGGAAGTGATTTCAGATTTAACACGCACGGATTGCGTTTGTTCTTTCAGCGAAGCTATTTAATTCTTCAAATTTCTTAAGTTTTAATAGCCTTTCATTGATTTAAGAATTATCAGCTGTCAAGAAATATCTACGTCAATATTGTGCGCACAAGCAGGTTTTTATTGACAGATATGTTGGGTTGAGCTTCTCGAAACTTCTGAAATCTCGTGACTTAAAATCTTATAAAATATGAAAATATATAATATAATACAATATATTTAAGTATACAGTATAAAGTTATATATATTTATATATAACTTTGATTTTAAGATTTCGTTTTAAGATACGTTGTAATGTTAAATATACTTTGGCTGGTAATGGTTCGGTAACTTTTAATTATTAAAAATTCTTATTATTAAAAATTCCGTTACTGACGTTATTTTTGAATTCCGTCGAAATTCCGTTTCATCCGCGAAACGCGCCTACTTTTCCATCGCGAGGCGTCTCATGTAACGCTCTGCACTTACACCTATCACTTAAGATTCACCCTGTATACCTATCTAAATACAATCGAATAAAAAAATAGAGAACTCTGCGTTTCGGGATGTCACGTGCCGACAAAAAAAGATGTCGAAATAGTAAAGAAAAATAGGTACGCTTTAAAGTGTCGTATGATGGTGCACGTGCGATCGACGAGAGTCAGTGAGAAGTAAAACGACTTTGGTCGTGGGGTCGATACTATGGTGGACACACTTATCGGTGATATCGTTTATTTTACATTACTCTGAATCTATACTAATGACTCCTAGGGTTCCTCCAGGAAGGAAGACGAGAAAATTAGTAACGGCGGTTGATAATGCGAAGATCAGGATAACGTCGTAGGCCGATCGTTCACGAGACATTTTCGCCTGTCTAGATAATAATTGCTCGTGTCGAGCGAAAAGCAATTTGCAAAGTTCGAATCCGAAGTTTGCAAATTCATTCATTTAAATTAACACGTGTGTAGATGTCTTTCGAGCTCGCCTATTCCCGTACTTGTGTGAGAGCGACACACAAGGAGAAATACACTACTTCGTTCAGAGAAACGTTCGTGCGACAAAGTCTACCTAAGTGATCTCTATTTATAGCTAAAGAGTCTATTTCCGACTAAACGTTCGCGCCACCGTTCCATATATTCTACAATTTGTATAGTACCTGCTGAATTCGACTTGGTACTGAATTCAGTCTAAAGATTAACATAATTTGTTCTATTACGTAATTGATTTTACAGAAAGTGTTATTTTTTATCACATCGCTGTGTTTGATCATCGTTCCTGATGCTCAATATTTTTTTATTTCATTTTCTTATTATATAAAATTTATTTATTTCTCTTTTTTATTTACGATGATTCAACTAGGAAGACAAATAATTTGTAAGAAAGTTAGGAAAAAACTATTGATTCATTTGTATCCGAAGAATTTTCCAAAATAATCGTATCTTGTATTACGGATTTTTTCATAATATTGTAATGTTTTCAACACTGAATAAATTTGAAACGCCATTATTGGAGAATATTTCTGAGAAGAATACAACAAATCTGAGACATTTCAA